GCCTACGCTCTAAGGACACTGAGCCTGAGGAAGTAAATGCAAAGTACAAACCTACAAGGTGCTAGAACAAAAAATAATTAAAAAAAAAAAGGGGACTTTTGAGGTGTGTCCCTGTTACCTTGGGCTGATGTATCCCACCCCGCCCTGCTGGGTGCTGGGCTTTGGTTCGGCTCTTTGCAAGGCAAGTCCATGTTAGCAACGTTTCTTGTCCCACTGCGGTGCTGTCAGGTTAGCCAGACCCCTCGAGCTGATCCTGTCACAGAGCAGCTGCAAGGCCAAGTCTCTGAGTAACTTTGAGATCTCCTTCAACTTGGATAGTCCTTCCTTAAGGGGGGCGCGGGGTGTGTCGGGGGCAAAGCCTAGCTCTTCGCCCTCACTGTAACAACCTAAGCTGGACGTGGACAATTCTGATCCCTCAAATGAGAAACTCTGCTCAGTCTAATGCCAGGCACGTCAGTTTGTTCGGTTTTTTTTTGCTAGTAATTCTTCTGACAAACAATTTTTGTAAATAAGAACGATGAAAAGCTAAAAACCAAAAAGTACCCTGCATCTAACACATTTGGCAAACTGCTGTTTTCTGTAACTAAATGTAAGCGCACGCATGAACAGTCTAATAAACAATTTAAATGTTTATTTGAAAAACATTAACAGTCAAATCGGCATGGGCAGGCAGGGCCTACTTCGCAAGAGTAAGCCAGTACTTGTGTCGAATTTTGTAGAATTTTCTTTTGAGACCTCACACTACTGCTGTACAAAAAGTACATTGTTTACAAGTGCTAACGATTTTTATGAGTGGAAGGGGCCATAAAGTGTAAAGTGCTTGAAATATAATTCTGCCTTTTTGTTTTGCTTGTATAAAATGTCCAATTACTTGAGTAACACAACTGTTTGGTAGTGATATTTTCCTTCCAAGGCACGCTCGACCCTCAGAGACCTGAAACCAGGCTGGGCAGCTTTGTTTCGGCTTGCAGGCAGAGCTGATGGTTGCGATACTCCTTCGTCCTTTTCCGAAGAATGCTACCTGTAGACTGCAGGACACCCTGAATGTCGTCCTCTCGCTATTCGGGACAGCTGACCTGCTTTATCTACGGGCGTGAAGGCAGCCAGCGTCCTGTCCAAGGTGTGGAAAAGTGACTTCACAGAAGTTAAAACCAACGGTAGCCCTCAGGGTGGAAAGCTGTCTTGTCTTGAAGCTTCTGAAAAGGCTGCATGTTTACGGAGAGGCACGGGGAAGTCAGCTTGGGGCCTCGGCCTGAGTGTCCCTTTACCAATCACTTAACTGACTTAGTTTTCTTAGTAGGAAACAAACAAGGTATTAAGATCAGGTGCCAAACTGCAGGTCAACTAAAAATTTGTTTTTAAAAAACAGTAACTCCAAAGTAAACACAGTATTAAGTACATGCTTTCTCATCTAAATTATTTTTCCTGTCCAGAAGGTCTGAAGGCAAGCTGACGGTAATCGCAGGTACAAAGCTGACTTGATCCAGGAGGAGGATGCCTCTGAAAGGTAAGATTACCTGGCGTTAGAAAACAATATACAAAACAATTCCATTTTCTAAAAATTATATTTAATCTTAAACTCCCCAAACTTAGTTTAAACTCAACGCATCAAGTATGTATTATCCTCATAATCCCTCTTTTCTGAAGCTACAATGAAAACTTGATGGGAAACTGCTTCCAAACGGCACTAACCGTGGTTTTAGAGGGCTCCCTTCACCCACTGCCTACCTCTGACACAGCAGCAGCAGCGTGGGCTCTATACGCTCCACTCCACGGTAGCCTAAAACTCCCTGCCGTCAGGAGCTGCTGTCAGGCTCTCGCACCCAATTCTCTAAGACGAGCTCCAGCCTCTGGTTTTATCAGCGTACCGTGGAATGGCATCAAGGCTGGGGGCCAGGCCCTGACTCGCATCTGCAACCGCATCGTTCACCAAAGGAGACCACCTGCTCATTCTTACTGGTCTACAGTCACAAATCGAACCTTTACCACTTTTTGCAGGACCACTTTATACAGGTAGCAAGAAAATGACTGTGTGGTTTTGGGGGGGTGGTGGTGTTGTGGTTTGGGTTTGTTTTGGTTTTTTTATTTTTAAAGGGAGGGAAGACCATCCTTCTGGCGTTACCATTTTGTGCAATGCTCTGATGAGCTGCGCACAAGCCCCATCTTCTCCAATTGGAAGAGAAATTACTGCCAACTGGTTCCTCTGCTCTCTACTGACCTCCGCCATGGACAGGCTGTCGGGGACTACTGAACAGTTTATGGGGATTAGATTTTTCTTCCTAGTTCTACTTAGTTCCAAGTTTCACACGTGGCAGTGTTAAGCTACTTGCAGCTACAAAGGGTTTCTTCACTTTTTCTGCTCTAACAAGTTAGTTACAAGAAGAACTCGTCTGACCGCACGCTTTGTGAAATGCCAGGGGGAAGCACGGTCTCTCCTGTCACTGCCACTTCCAACCTCCCCGATCTCCCACCCCTCCACTCTTCTGGCTCTGTCGGAAGGACTAAGGCCGCTCTTCTCCCTGGGTGGATACATAAATTAACTGCACCCAGGGCCGCTCAGCTGGTCGGCTGCATTTGGAGACATCAGTTGTGCCTGTTGTGGGTGATGAAGCATGCCGCTAATGTTTTCTAATGTTTCCTAATGAAAACATTTAGAGTTGTCGGAATTGTTTAGCTCTAGCTTCTACCCTCCTGTCTCAGAGCTACGTTAATGGTGTCTCACAGTGTAGTCTGTAGAAGACTTGATAAAACTTCAGCAGTACGACAGCCAAGCTAAAGATATCCCCAATGAAAGATTTTCCCATGTTCCTCTGAAATGCCTACACACCAAAAGGTCACTTGGAATGGAAAGTTACCAGCAGCCTTGTCACTGAATTGTTGCCACCATCTTCCTACAGAATGGGGTTGCTTCTTGAGAGATTTTTTTTTTTTTTTTTTAGTTAATGTTTTGCCTTCATCAGGAAAAAAAAATTAGCAAAAATTACTTACTTGTTTTCACAGGAAGGGAAAATCACTTTTAAGACTCTGAGAATAAGAGCTGCTCCAACAACCCCAACTACGATGACTTCCATCAAACTAAAGAAGATAGGTAAAGATCGAAACCAGAATCTGCACAACCCTTTTCTCAAGTCTTCCACCCATTGGCACATCACCTACAACCAAACAGGTAAAAATAAAAAGGCAGGCTGCAAAACAGAGAGTGCCGGTTTTGTAGCTACTGGTGAATCGCGTTACATGGTGATCGTTTTACTTAAACTTATGTATGGCTAAACATACATAAAAGCAGGATGGAACTGACTGATGACTTGGACATCTTTCTTGTACGAGGTTTGGAAGAGGTGAAGGTTTAGTTCTCTGCTCACCCTAGCAGAGTTCCCTGAAAGGAAAGGCGGTTTTGGAAGATAAAGGACACTCAAACAGAGCAGGTGAAGCGGGAGCTATTTGGCGTAGGTGTAGAGAAGCTAGGATACCATGGCAGGGTACAGCAGGGAACGGGTTACCAACAGGCCAAGAGAGGGGCAGGACCTTCTCTAGCCTACCTGTAACTTTCAGCCTACGATTTTAGCCCTCTCGACTCAGCAGTAGATTATAAAGTGTTTCTTTCGGCCACAGAGGAGGCCATCAAGTCCATCCTTACCTAATCTGGAACTGAAACTTCTCAGGCTCTTACAGTGTTTCTTACAGAAGGTGAGACTGATGGCCCATCTCCCAGAGGGGTAAGCACTCAAGCCGAGTCAGAAAAAGCTGATGTAATTTAAAGCTATACAATATTTGAAGTTGTTATAAATGCTTAGCTTGGTACAACTTAAATATCACAACTCGCTGTCATGAAGTACCTGTGAGGTCAGAACATTGCAGGATTTAGAAACCCATTTGATTCCTCCTGGAGTAAAAAAAAAACCAACCATTTCTCACTGCTAAGGGGTAATTTAGAAAGGTTTTTTTTTTTGAAGTTTCCTAGAGTATGTCCGTAAAAGTCTGTTGTTCTTTGTGGTTGGCTGTGGGGATTTCTTAGACTTCTGTGGAAGTCGGATACTTCACGCGATAGAAAATCCCAGTCCTTAACAAATACAAAGCAGCAAAACAGTACTCTGAGAGGTCAAGACTAGGTGAAGTAGGAATGGCAATTCTCTCTTCCAGAAATGAGTTATTACACACTATGTTGCTTTTTTTTCCAAAATTAAAGATAAAGGACCAAGGACAAAGGCCTAGGAATGTTGTCTACCTTCTTACCATCTTTAATGGATGTTCTGTTTGGTCTTTACATGAGGAAACCCCACTACCTGAATGCTAACAATGCTGGGCTGGTTTTGTTCCGTAAACATTCACAAAGGAGGAGAACATAATATCTGTAAGTGTTTCTGTAGAGGATACTAAAACGGGGAAGGAAGTTTATTCCCTCAAGCTGTAATACCAAGTAACATTCAGCTCTACTTGCACCATGTTACTGCAACTTTTCCTCCTAGAAATGTCACCAAGCTGTATGCTTTTCACCTCTGGGGAAACAAGGGAAAAAAACAGAGGGAGACAAAAAAACGCTCCTCCTTTTTAGACCAGTCTTTAAAGGTATCTAACAATTATTCAAACAAACAAACAGCAAAGCCACCTTGTAAGAAGATGGAGGCTCTATCCTAAGAGGGGTCTCTGGTAACTTGCCAGGCAATGTCTCTTCATCTACTGTAGTTTCTACTTGCCGGACGAGGTACTGACTGGTTGTTTGCAGTGGATCTTGAGTATCTGAAGAAGAAAAGCTAGATTTAGTGGGGGGCTTGCTTTTTATTTGACTCACTATTCAGGAAAACAAAGACATGCTGCATTTCTGTACTTATGGTACAGTTCTTACACATTTACAGCAAGAACACTGAAGGCTGGCTGACTTTTTTTTTGACTTGAGTAGTGAACTTGGTAAGAAGCAGCAGCAGTGTTACAGTGCAGCACTCAGCTGTGCCCTTAGCTGTAAATTTCAGCTGCTGCCAGGTTAAAAGGTGATAAACTAGATCAAAATATTAATCTCCTATGAAATCCTTGAGAGTTTTTGATTAAACAAAACTGAAATAAGATTAAGGTATAAAATAACTTCTCTTGCTTTTAAGTTATTCAAGTTTAATACCATGAAACTATTCTCTGGTTTGGAAGTGACCCAGACAGGTATTTCCTCTCCAGTTTTCTCTTTCATTCTCAGGAAACAGGGGCAGCTTTAGAGAAACTTCCATCATAGCACTGAGAGAGAAATTCCTGTGAGATGTCTGGGTCGCAGACTGGTAAGTATCAAGTGCTTCAAAGGAGAACAGATTTGAAAACAAAGAAAAAAAATACCTAGAATGTAGAAGAGTTCAATTTAGGTGTTTAAAAAAAAAACAGAAACCAAACCACATAAAACAAAACACTTCCCTATTAATGAAGAAACTGTTTCACTATGTAAAACACAGGAATAATGATGTTCTTTTGCCCTTGTAAAGCAATACATCAACTATGGGTAAAAATATTATGTAACAGCTAAGAGAAATACCTTTTCCTGAGAGGTTGGGAAGTGTAAATAACACGTCGTTGTCCCTTGGGATGGAATACAGCATGCTCTCTTTCAAAGGGACAGTGTAGTTTGAATGTCTAAGTACTCTCAGGTCCTTGACTAAAATATCTATTTCTGTTACTTAAAAAAAAAACAAGAGATGCAAACGTGTTGATATTACTGAGTTGAAAGTAAGAGTGAAGTAGGCTGGCAGAGAAAACAGTACATCACAGAAAACTCCAAGCCATTAAGATTAGACATAGGGATGTTATAAAATTAATTAGCACCCTTTGTTTTTACGTACCACACTTCTATGACTATGCCACATTAGAAAACATGCTGAACAGACTGGTTTCTCTCTCTCCCTGCAAAAGCATGTGGTAGCCACTCTGAGGTCTTTTAACCAAGTCTTACATAGCTCATTACAATCCTCTTTCAGGGAGGCATTTTAGGGCATGGGAAACTCAAGGACGTAACGAAAGAGCACTTGCAAACATTGAAAGTGTTGCTGAGGCAAGGCTGACCCTCCCGCTTTTGCGGTAATGTTGCTTTTTTTTCCAACCAACCAATGTTGTTTTCTTCCAACAACCAAAAGAATAGTTGTCTTCCTCCTCTTCCAGTGATGCGCTGGACTCACTTCACTTAATAATCACTGCAGGCATTGCTTATCTAGAAGACATTCAGCATAACTCCTACTAACATCAACAACTGCATTGTGAGGCCAAGAACTGACAGAAATCCAGAGTGTTTGTGACCATAATTATAACTGCTACTTAGAAATATAACGAACAAAAGAGGAATGAAGCATGTGATACAGTTTCACTCATGCTTTCAGAACCATAGGCCAACCAATGATCCCCTTTTGCTTCAAATACGTGCACAACAATGCAATGAAACAGATGATCGTTACCGTCTGCTGAGAACTAATGAGGAAGATGGAAAGATTTTGACTTAAAGGGACAATTAAGGAAACCAAATTTGCTTTCTGGTTGTTCTTTCCAGGTCCCTATGAAACTCTGAAATGCACTGTGCTGTCTAGTTCGAGATCTGAAACACAACACTCCTGTGCAACAACTGAACCAAACCAGGATGAGTTAGCCTCCTAACACTGCAATAAACACCCCGTTAGAAAAGCTTTGAGCCTCTCAGTGGGATTTTTCATTAACAGAGTAAAATTTTGACATGATGCAAATCCCTGTAAAAAAATACTGCATGCTGAGCATGCAATTAATTAAGGATCAATAGTATTACCATCATTCTCCTTAAAAAAAAAAAAAAAAAAGGCAGCAGAACATAAGCCAGCTTCAAAAGAGCCTGGCGGCATGTAAGGTGCAGACATGTACTGAAACAAGAATATGACACTTTTGCTGGCTTCAGCAGCTGTTATCTTCTGTCCAGAACCTCTCTGGTTAGAAAAACAACTGTACCTTATAGGTGATTTTGAGAACTCACTTCTGCACATTTCAATCTCAGCTAGAATTGTAACCTTTCACACTCACTGGTATTCGTGCAAATACAGTTATAATTTGGTAGGTTTTTTTCTGTCCATCTCAAAATCTATGTTCATTATCAAGATCTTTATTCAAATGAATTGATTATCTTACATGCAAAATATTCTAAGGCTAAGCTCTCGGGTGGTGTGGACCTTCACAAGCCCACCTGCCGTAATAAGTTTGCTGCTGCAAGCTGTTCCCCATGCTACAGGCTTGAAACTCTTTGTTAGCTTGGAATAAACAATGGGGAAAACCTCAAGGCTCCGAACGAGCCCATGCCCCTGTTATTTATTTTGTACATTAATTTGTAAATGAAGTATTGCTTGTGAGTCTGACTTTGCTTGCCTAAGCACACGTATTGAAAGAGCATGTGACAATTAAGGATATTCTAACAAGCTTAAGGGAAAGTCATCCAACACTTAATGCTCCTATTTGTATTTTTATAATTAAAACTTGAAGTCTCCTCATGAAACACCCCCACTACTATACAGGCAACTTCGGTTGGTATTCTCTCCCTCAGTACTGTGCTGGCATTAGATTATGTACTTTGTGCTCTAACCACCAGCCAGACACACGTAAACCTTTTAATCCTTGGTAACTACTTGTCTCTCCTAAAGCAGAATGTTGGGTTTTTTTTTTTTACCTGTTTTCCATCAATTTCCGTCACTTCTTCCTGAATAACAATCAGCTGCAAATCAGAACTGGACGCCAAAGGCCACTCGTGAACCATGATGCGAACACTGACGGTTCCCAGGCGCTGCTGATCCGGTAAGTTATCCAAGTTTCCAGCCTCCACTGTTAACACACAACGTCACAGTTTGCAGAGAGGCACCACCCCAACAAGAACGCAGCATACAACCATGGGGCAAACAGTTGCAACTCTGACACAGATACCTTTGCACACGCAGCATCTGAACGGAAAAGTCATGACAACTACAGAGGGCCACTAGCATCAAACCAGAGATGCCCGAACAGTTGTACGAAGTCTGTACTATGCTGATGTCCATAACGCTTCCAGTAACCGCTGTCAGAAGCAGCAGTAATGTGGGCAACAGGTAAAACAGATGCCGTGATTTTTTATCAGTATATCACCAAATCAAACTTGGAGCAGGGCTCATGCTCTAACACAGCAGGTAACGGCAGCGCTGTACGATCCCCAGCCTGAGGGAGCTTGCAGTGTCCCGTCCCGACCTCTCAGGTGTGCATTGCAGCGCTCGTTGGCTTCGCTATGGCTGCATTCTTATTTCAGTTGTCCAAAGGAGTTCACGAGAGCAATGCCACAGCCCAGCCAGCCACCTGTGTGAACATCTTGATTCGCACAACATTCCCCTGCCTCTCAATACAGAAACACTTTTTTTTCAAATATGCACACTGCATATACTACTCAAGATGAGTGTCAGTTCCCTCTACATGTTTTTTCTGCCCCTCTGTTTTCATATGTGACCGATGACACCTCAAACTCTCTTCCTCCCCAAAAGCTTTCAGCTATTTCAACAACCTAATATTCCACAAATACACGAGAACTGCCTTTCTACCTTCAATGTTTCTGCATAGCCTTAGTGTCCTCCTCCCAGCTACCACGCCTCTACTACAGGTGGAGGCACACTAGAACTGATGTGCTGCAGAAAAGCCAGAGCGGAGGTGATGGATCGCTCCAGCGCGCAGGTAGCAAGGTACAGGACCCCTGGCCCCTGTTTCTGAGCCCCTAGTGCTGTGTGCCACTTGCAGAGCTGAGCCTAAGAGCCAAAGTGGGGGAAGGCTGGATTAGCGTCTTTCAGTTACACATTAATAACTCAGTGCGTTTGTTACTTTTACGCTATGATCCCTTTCCTCGTTAAGCTATTTTGCTTATTTTAAATATAGAAAAATACTTTTTGGCATCATTTAGCAATCTCTTCCATTGTGAAAAGAAGCAGCAGGAGGAGAGAAAGAGAAAGTTTCCCTATAGATGTGAGCCAGAGCACTACCCTGGCTGCAGAATGTCTTCTGACTTACCGCAGCAAGCATACGTTCAGGGACCAAAGCCCCTAAGATGCCAAGTAGCTGAAGCTCCCGTGGGCCCAACTTTCACGTGCCAGGCTGCTCGATCCCCACTACATTCAACAGGAGTGAAAGATACACTTCCAGAAGTGGCATTTGTGGGAACCTGAAGTGGGGATGGAGGTGCCAGGCGTGATCTGACAACAGCGTCAGGACAACAGCATTCAGGAGACTTGGCTCAAGTTTGGTTTTTACGTATATTCAGGGATATTCTTCCCCTCTGTTAACAGGTAACAAGTATCTCGATATTCCTGTAGCATTTTACAAACCTCATCTGAATCTATTGTCAAAGATTTACTAAAGTAAACAGCATAAGCATTACTTTACAGGTAACAGAGAGAGGTACCATGCTGAGGACTTGGACCCAAACACAGAGATAAGAGAGTTCCAGGATCCTAGCTTCCAGGTCAAATCAGTATTCTTCTCACTGTTTCAGATTCACGTTCATAATCGTAGTCACTGCAAGCTATACAACTACGATTTGGGAAATTAATAGGAACTACAGTAGACTGCTCAGTATCTCTCAGAATTAGTCAACAGAATCATATCTATTTTTCTGGAGTCAGTTATCTTTCAGGTAAATGACATTTTGCCATGTTTTTCTACCCTAGGATAGAAAAAATAAAATCAATAGGAATGTAACTATCCCAGAAAGAGAGAAATGAATTACTGCTCTCCCTCTCCAGAAAAGAAATAGTGTCAAATTAATAATGGATCACGCTTGGGAAGGAAGGGTTCAAGAAACAAGGCCATGGCTCAGAGAAGCAATTTAGAAAGAGCATTAGTACCCTCTAAGTAAAAGTCTGATTGTAAGGAGAGGATGACCTCAGAAACCAAGCTAGAGACTGACTGTACCTGATCCATCGAGAGATCGTTCTGAATAGAACAGGAGCCTAAATCAAATAAGCATAATGGCCCTTGTTTAATTAATTATACAGGATGCTCTGTGTATCTCAAAAGAATCACAGTACTTTCTGATCTTTCACAAAAGCTGTAGCATTGAATCAGTGGAAAAAATAGCAGTTTCAGGATAATCTGAAGTCATTAACCACTGCAGGACACTAGCAAAACTGCAGTATTTGTGCTGTAATATCCTATCCAGCAGAAACTTGTTTGTCCAATAGACACAGAAATTAGATAATAAAAAGATCTCCCTAACAATAATTCAGACTTTTGTTGCTGAATCTCCTTTTGGATATATGCCAACCAACCTAGGGACACAGCCCTTAGCAGGGTGGAGTTGCATCCTTCTGTTTACATTGTCTAGCTTGTAGTGCAAAACATTCTTTTGCAAAGACAGGCAGAGTCTGGATTTCAGATTAGATCATTTAACCATTTACATATATGGATGTGAATGTGAGTTGGGAACAAGGCAGTAATATTGTTTCCACCCATTTTAGGAGCAAAGTTATCCTATCTTAGGAAATGATTTACTTCTCCAATGCCCAAGTTTTCAGAGTATGACAACATGCAGTCATTGTAAGCTTTGGTTACTAGATAACATGGAAGCCAAATACCCCAGGGGGAAAAAAAACAGGAGGGGGGGACACAAAGAATACTCACATATTACTGTTTGACACGTTATGTGGGCAACCCCGCTCTTCATAGGGAAATCATTTAGATACACCTGTCCATTAACGTAAGTGATATTAAAAACAACCTGAAAGAAAGACGGAGAGAATGAGTGTACAGTGCCTGGCCCTATGCTGCAATTCTGTTCTCACAGGACCACGCTTCATACTGACTGATACCAGGCAAACAGATTTGCATCCACGTGCAGATTTTGTTCCACTGCATATTAATTCACTGAATAAATAGAAAAACTGGACAAACCTGCCCTTTGTGAAATTCTCCACTGGTTTTCAACATCATAACGTTGACTCTGATGGTTTCCTGGAAAAGAACAGCGAGAAGAGGTGCTAAGTTTCTGAGAAAACACCTAAGCCACTGCAGGCCACGGGACGGCCAGGGGCAATCCCCACAGCACATTCCCAGGCTTTCTCTCCAGCAGACAGAAGAAAGAGGAGTATGCCTACTTGTTTCATCTAAGGGTTGGTCTGGGTTTTTTCCCCTTTTTTAATAAAGAAGATTGATGAGAAAGAATGACAGCTGCATCCCCTTATGCACAGGGGGGTTTAAAATAAAAATAGTAACAATCAAGCTAAATTCTCATGAGAACTTGTTTCACAAGGATATAATGGAAAAGAGGTCTCTCATATTAGCTGAAAAATAATAGACAATACAAGGTAAAAATAAAATTCTCTGTAAATGTTTTTTAAGCACTCCACTTAGTCTTCAAGGTGAAATACAATTTAATACGTGTTACTAAGAACACTCAGTTTTGTCACTGTCAGCAGTAATCCTCTTTCTTTGGTTATCATTCCCAAATGATGCCACACGGGACACCTCCCAACTCACAGCTAATGGGGATTTGCTTCTTTCTTTCAAACCCCAACTGCTGCAAGTTACGGATTCGCTCACTGTCCTCTCACTTCCCCCGTGTAATTTCAGGGGCTGTTTTGCCGATGGCACCTGAATCTCCCAGGCCTGCCCCTGACAAAACCTACTCACAAAAGCCAAACCTCTCTTGGACATTGCCAAAAGCAATGACTGCCCCGCTGCTTTCCTGAGTCACCTCTTCAAAAATAACGTTAAGCTCCCTGTTTGCCTTTTGGGAGCCTTGAATGATTCTGATCATGTTTCATTTTCCTCTGGAAAACTTCTCCATGCCTTCAGCATCTTCTTTAGCTCTGTGTTTGAGTCATGGTTTAACAACTAACAGCTAAAGTCGCAATAAAATGTTGAACTTGCTCAGAATTTAAAATAAATAAATACATACAAATTTAAATACACACAAAGGCTTTTCATTTGGGATTTTTGTAAAACACTAAATTTTCAGCTAGGAAATACTTGAAGTATACAGTACCTAGTGTAACATAGTCTCAATTCATGAACAGAGAGCTTCTGAAGTGCGACTGTAATGTAAAAAAAAAATCCTTAAAACAACGGGTGTTAATCAGTATACGCAGGTAGCCAGGATTGCCAAAAACTGAAAACCAACATCTAAAGCTGATGCAGCAGAAATCTGGCATCATGAGAAGCATGGTTTACAATCTAACACAGATAACCTTTTGGTTGGAAATGACTTGTCATTGATGCGTCGGATGCACTTGTCAAATCAGCAAATAGAAATTCAATGCACTTGTCAAATCAGCAAACCAAATAGAAATCTCCTTCTCAGTGCCCCTTCCAGGAAACAGGCGTTTAGACTGACTTCTCTTCAAAACTCAGATCCTAGCTATTCACAGTCAGTGAAAACTACCAATTTGCTTAGAGAACTGGAAGTCTGTAACTGAAAATATAAACCAGATTAATCATAAAATCATAGGATGTAATCTATTCTGTCATTCTGTAATTTCCTCAAACCACTTACTTTCTTCACATGTTTCAAGACTTCTTTATATTAAAAAACAAAAAAAATCCGCCGAACTGTTAGCTCTTTTAGCTCTGGCGTTCAGAGCTGTACGTCTTTTACGCCCTCAAACTGTTTAACAGATTACCAAAACCTTGTGTCATTACCTTCTAGGTTCTTCTATTTTCTGGGAATTCAAAGGGCACAAAAGATGGATTTTCCAGGCAGCCTTAACAGTCCTTTGGTTTTTAAGCCTCAAAGGAAATTGGAGTTCTTTTACACAGAAAATATTTTGCAATCTTTTTCAACATCTACAAAGTGACTCACTGAGATTACAAGAAAAAGGAAGTGACTGATAGACTGCAACTGCTGAAAAAAATGAAAATTCCCCCCTACTTTTTTTCTTAAATCAAATGCTTTATTTGAAAACGAAGGACATAGGGCAAGACAGATACAGTCAACAATTGAGCCTTAAATGTACAAAGTGAGCTATAAACATAAAGATTAATTTTCTTCAGAACAGCTGTCAAGTCTGTTGACGTAGTATCCACAAGCACTGTCATGAATTCCAGTACGTACTTAAAATCTGCGCTTGAAGAGCATGTTACGTGTTTAAGAAATCAAAATATTTCAATGGATCACTGCCGCGCTGTCAAAGTTACAAAAAATAGATCCCAGCACGCAGACAAATAAGACAGCTTAACCACTTGCTGCCCCTGCCACGAAAAGCGAGAGCGTAGATCTCTCCTGCACATCGTCCTTCCCTCTCCTTTATGCCAACTCAGCGAGCCAATTTAGCTCATTAAACTGCCAGGAAAACTTTCCCTTTTTTTGCCAGACTATTTTCCTGTCAGTTGAACAAGCAAGGAAGAGCCAGGCAAGCATGAGAAACACAAGAAGGCAGCTGGGAGGAGGGAGCCGGGCTACTTTCCGACGGCCACAGGCTGTCGGCTCCGCTGCACGGCGTGCCGGTCCTTGCAGCATCTCCTTTGGAGATGCCTGTCCTCACCATCATCTCTAGAGATGGTGGTGCATCTCCTGAACGGCACAGGTTCATAAAACTTCTCAATGACTTAGAGCAATGACTGATACTCCACTACAGTGGCCACACCATGACCCTTGCAATTCTGTGTTCACAAGCAACAGAGAACTCATATTCTTGCCATTCCCGTGACCAGTCTGTTCTCACCCAGATCCAACAAATTCTACTGGTAACTTCCCATATTCTGTATGTCCATTCTCCCGGGTTGTCATATGTTCTTGTTTTGCCTCTTCACTAGGCAGTCTCACAAGACTTGATGCCAGTCTTGCCAAGAAATATTTCAAATAGGTCTCAAAGTTTCAGTGCTAAAAAATAATCAGTTTTCAATTTCTCTTGCTCCAAACGTTCCTGAACTGACATAAAAACATCTCAAGGACCAGTGGAAGACCAACTTTTCCAGAGTCAGAATCAGCTATATCGATGCCATTCATGACACTTATTCTTAAATCTCTCCAGTGATATCCAAAAATTTCACTCTCTCCTCGACTATTTACTCCAGTACTCAGCTACCTTTAACATTAAAAGTTTTCCTAATGTCTAACCTGAAGCTTCCTTGCTGCACTTTATGAACAGGTCGTTCGTGACTCTTCATAATATCTCCCCATGGAAAATAACAGTCCTCCAACTCGGTCTTCCTGACTTCATGCTAATGCTCTCAGCTCACTTAATCCTTCCCTGGAGGTGAGCTCCTCACTGCTGTCTTCCCATGGCTTCCCATGGGGCTTTCCAGCCCACCGTCTCCCAAAACTCAACGGGTCCTGCTGTGGCCAATCTGCCTGACCCGACACACCCCATACCGACATCTACACGAGGGCCAGAACCACAGGACACATGCTGTTCCATCCTTCACAACACCTTATCCCTTCCCGTGCTGGTGAGTGCCTTCACACCAAACGCTCCCATCTGCGCTGAAAACGGCCCTATCGCTCTCAATGCTGCTGCAGGATGTAGATGTCTCTCCTGAGTTTTCCTATGGTTTCTCATCACATGTTTTAGTGCTCCAGCAGTGATATTTACAGCGGTGATGGCCACAGCACCCGCAAAGAGCACAGCCCTTCTACCACAAATGTAGGTCATTCTGTTCTGGGACAGCCAGGCAACAGCAGCAACAGTGTGGTCACATCCATTACGGTGAACTAGGGAATTTTTGTGAACTTGGATCAGCAGAGATAAGCGGGTAGCGATCATTTTCTAATCCTTTCTCTTCCACCATGTGCTGCAACAGAACCCAGGAGTGCTAACTGGGGCAGTGTAATCCCAGCAGCAGCGCAAGATGGGGAACAGATGGCAGCAAAGAATACAAAGCATCTGGCCTAAGTTAAAAGGGAATATTCGTTAATTCTTAAAGACTCTCCATACCAATGCCACACAAATCTACAGAGAACATTTCACCTAATCTTATGAAAAGCGCCGCACAAGAGAAAGCTGTTGGCTTGAGAAATCACGCAAGAACTTCAAACAGATCTAACTACAGAAACACAGAAAAACTTCTTCCAAGGGCACTGGGGACCTGACAGGGCGCACCGCACAGTTTCTCCCAGTGCAGGGTAACTGCTAAGTCCTACACAACTGCACTGGTCACATAAACCCCATCTAGACTCAGCCGCTAGCAGCCAGCCCACTTAAAGCACAGCTGTTCTCCATCGAGGCGCTCCCAACAAAGCTCTTTCTGCACTAGAAGGCTGCGGGAAGGGGAGCGGATGGCATGGTGCCTTGCAGGATGGCCAGCTGTGCAGAGACTTGAGAGACAGACAATCTCCTCGCCACGATTACGCAGGCACCTCTGGGATATCCTGTTTGCGACAGGGAAACAGAAAGTCCAATGAAGGCTGCCAAACAGATAAGGAAAAGACAAAACTAATAACTTGTTTCTAAATTTGAAAAGAGATTATGGGGAAAAAAGTGTTCGAACAGACAAACAAAACTACCACCCAAACTCACACCGTTTGAGTCCTGGCACTCAGATGGACAGCTGCCTCCAAATAGCGTAAGCGTACATCTGCGATCCAGGGCTCCCCGATCTGTGCTTCTCGTAATTCTTTCACCAGACTCAGACCAGAGCTCTGTTGTAGGATGAGTCTTAACTGCAATCAGGCCCAACTGAGTTAAGAAATAATCATGGCACAAGTTTGCCACGACATGTTTGACTTGACAAGTTTGCAGGACGATCATTAGTCCCTCACATTTTACAAAATTTTAGCACAAAATCTTCTCCAATAAGGTTTGGCATTATTAAACTGCATGACAGTATTTAGAGCAAGATAATGAAAGCCAGTATTTGCTTACGTAACTAAAGCTGAACTATCTTTTTAAATATAAAAATCTAACAGGATGCTTTTGCTTTACTTTTCTGAACAAGCACATTTATATTCCTTCCTCGTTTACGATGATTTTTAGTACAATATCGCTTATCCTTTGCTTTGCCCTACATATGTTGCTAGAATGAATCACCTTTGCTTTCTCCCT